GTGTGTGTGTGTGTGTGTGTGTGTGTGTGTGTGTGTGTGTGTGTGTGTGTGTGGGACTTACTGTTGTTCTGCGGATGTGGGTAGGGTTAGCAGTCGCAATCGTTGGCCTCAGGACCCCACGGAAAGTTGCCACTCGGATGTAGAAGCTCCGGTCGAGTCACTCTAACGCGTATCGCGAACTCGCAATTTCGGAGATGGAGTTTGACTGGTGACTGCTGAGTGCCGAATGCCGAATATCGAATATCGAATATCGAATGCCAAATGCCGAAGGAGAAGTCACTAATAACGGCCGAGTCCCGAAGGAGAAGTCTAATAACTGCCGAATCCCGAAGGAGAAGTGACGCTCCTCGTGGAAGACCTCTCCTTTTATATGGCGAATTAGTGACGCCGAGAGCGGAGTACGTGTACTGCTGAGCCAATCCAGGATTAGGGATATTGTTTATAAGTCTAAGATAACTTTCGTCATCGACCGTTTCTCGAGTGTCTAATAGATGCGAGCCACATGTCATTGTTGCTCACACCCGCTGTTTCATTTTACAAAGTCTAGTCTGTTTGTTCTTAAGTTTCGCCTATCTGGCCCTTGGTTCCAATATCAACCCAACGGTTCTGTCCCGAATGGTTTATTAGTTAAAAACTGTGCGTTCATTGTTCTCAGCTCTTATTTTATGTTATAGTCCTCGAGATAAGGTTTGTCTATTTGATACTTGATTCAAATATCTAACCCAACGGTTCAGTCCCGGATGGGTTGTTAGTTTAAAACGAGCATTTATCGCTCTCAGCTCCTATTTCAAGTGGTTTACTGCTCACTAATTCTTTGTGATGACGAAAGTTTCTTGTCGAAGAAAAGAACTGTGGAGTCTGGACGTAACACTTATTATGTGTCCGTTTTTATCTTGTATTTATTTAAATTATCATTAATCCGTTATTAATCTTATTTATAAAATATTTAAATTATTTTTCTTTCAGAAAATAGGAAATATCTGTCGACTATGAAATTTTGTTTTTAACTGTAGTATTTTTAATTACTTTTAAATGTGGTAAATTGTAATTTTAATCGATTTATTTATTTATGTAAATTATGACCCGACTTGTGCTGTAGCAGCGTACGTAGGCTGTACGATCATGAATAATCTCCAGATAGATGCACCATAATCCTTGTACCGCAAGGAACAATGATTCACGTCTACCATCAGCTTCCATTATTAAAAAATACGGTGTAATGATTAAACGTATCAGGCAGGTGATTGTAATCATAAGCGTAACAACACCATAAGCAGTGTTTACGAGCATCACTGTGTCACATAATAATGCATGCACTGTCATCAATTGGGAGATGTTGTCCGTGAAACTTTTGCCATCAAGAAAAAAAAATTATTTTAAAGAAGTATTCTAGTTTAAAGGCCTCATTTTTAAGATTACTTCTGAATTAAAATAAAAAAATTATCAATGCTACAGTAGAGACGAATGTCATCGAAACCGTTATATCACTTCTTTTTGGACTAAATGTTTTTTAAACAAAAGCTAAAAATAAAATTTTGGGAATATAAATGTAAACTAGAAAATGTTTTTTATCAGATAACATGGCAGTTTCTATAATGCTATTTGAAATTTTATTTTTTAAGGGTTCTGAGTATTTACGTCAGTCATATTGAATCGTGACATCAAAAGCGAGAAATATGACAAGCGACACGTTCAATTTTTGCATACCATTTGTAAATAAAGAAAATTTGATTGAAACAAAATGTTGAGATTGCTTTGAAAATTGGCTGAGGGTATTCTTATCTCTACTGGTAGTCAGTAAATAGTCATAAAAAACATTTAAAACGTGATTACTGATTTTTATTCAATGCGTATTCGTAGTCTATTATTTTTACGAGCCTTTCTTTGACTATTATTAACTGTCAGGAGAGTAAGGGAAAGCTGGATCGACAGCCGAATTTGATTGAGATCGACAGTACAGATTTTTTTAAACACCAAATTTGATAATAGTGACATCTTTCATTCATTTCTTATATCTATCATATATTGTTGTATCTTGCTCATACGCATTCATCTGTCTTTATCTAATCATTCATCTGTCTTATCATATTGCAACGCCATTTCTTAGAAAATCGAACACCTACTGTTGGACACAATTACTGCTTCGTGTACTATTCCGAATCTTTGCTCAGCGTTCGAATATACGTCATTTGAATATGGTATAAATCTTACTATTAAGCTGGACTCCCCACCAACACAAATTGAGTTCAGATATAGTAAAAAATTTAGTGTTATTTTGTTGCTTTAGAGCGAATTATGTTGTTCCAACCGTTTAGCAGTAAAAAAAAAAATAGATGGGTCCAGCTTAATGACAAGTTGAAACCCCCATAGTAATAAAAATATATACAGAGCTGCAATATCAAAAAAACAAGTACCTCAGATGTTGTTGCTTTTTCAAACATTACAGGGTTAGTTGCTCACATGATTTTGATACTGAAATGTTCCTCGTAGCATATACTATAAAAATATGTCAATTTTTTATTTTGTTGCTAACTATAACATACACAAAACAATTAGTTTATCAGCATCGGCGCCCACGCCGAGCACTTTATTCAATCAAAGATTGTTTAAAGATTGTTTAAAGAAGATGTTGCTCAGAAGTTTTTGGTACCAAAATATTCCTTGTAACGTATACTATCGAAATATACCCATTTCCGATTTTGTTGCTAACTCTGATACATGAATCGCCCGCGCCGATGCTGATAAACTAATTATTTTTCGTGTGTCATAGTTAGCAACAAAATCGAAAATAGTCATATTTTGATAGTATATTCGAGGAACATTTTGTTACCAAAAACATGTAAGTAACTAACTTTACATGTAGCTTTTAATCATGACGCTGTTACTCCTGACAACGCAGTTTTGTATCATGTCGATCATTTATCGATATTTGTTTTAAAAATGTAATTTTTTTGATATTTCTTTGAAGTATCTTGAAGCAACAAAAAAGCAACAAAAAATCTGATGTACTTTTTTTTTGATATTGCAGCTCTGTATATATTTTTTTACTATGAGAGAGTCCGGCTTGCCATTACGCTGGACCTACCCATTTTTTTATTGTTAAACGGTTGAAGCAACAAAATTTGCTCTAGAACAACTAATTAGCACAAAATATCACTAAATTTTAATTTTTGATTGTGTCCGAATTCAATTTGCGCTGGAGAGGGGCTTCCAGCTTAATAGGGATATAAATCTTTCTTTTGTGAAACTTTTAACCTTACAAGTAAACACAACCAAAGCTCTCTCTCTGAGAAATCATTTAAATGAGGTTTTAATATATTGTTTTATGGACAGAAATAAGAGATACATATTTTTTTTATACCGGCTGAGTCGCACTTTAAATGGGCGGAAACCTCCCTTGAAAAAGATCGATCTTTTTCTTTCAAAGCGAATATTTTCGAAACTATTGTATAAGAGATAGAAAAAATTTTCTAAAATAAAAATTGAATAAAGTTAAGAGTACTTTATAACTACAATAAAAAAAGTTTTTTAATTATTTCTTTAATGTTTACTCTCACCTCTATCCTTATTTTCAAAAATTTTTTAATTTTTACATATCGAAAATGAAAGAGCATTTTATACTAAAAATAATGATGTGTATTAAAATCTAATTCCGAAAAATAATTTTTCAGAACTATATGAACAAAATTGTCCCTATATATGCGCTCTGTATTCGTTTCATACCCCGTTGGCTGCTCGTGATAGCGACGAAGACAAATACAATACAATTCGTCATAGTGCAGTATAAGTATTGCATGACTATTGAAATAAGTTTCTTAAATTGTATTAATAATAACAATAATAATAATAATATTACTAACAATAGCGACTCTATTAAATTGCTAAAATCAATCAAATACTTTTGAAAAAATATAAAAGAATGTACGAAATATTATGGACAATTAAAAACTAGCAAGAATAAAGAAATTATTACGTTTATAAAATTTTATTTATTTCATTTTTATCGTAGAATAGCTAATTTTAGTGTTCAATGTTGACATGAATGTACAATATTAATAAGGCGCTGCGTCTTATTAATACGATGCTATGCAGAAAATAGATTTGCTGACGCATTTGTTTTGTCTGAGTACGTTGTTAAGTTAATAACAAAACTCAATCAGCGGGCGAAGTAAGAGTCAACCACATTTTTTAATTTTTACATAAAATTATATATTGTATTAAACGCGATGAAACATCACGCCAAAAAATAATAAATAATAAAACTATAAACTAATACATTACAAGTAACAAGTTTCGGCTACCAGTTTGAGCCCTCTTCAGACATTAGTACAATAAAAAATAACAGAATAAATTCAATTGTCGCAAGTATTCGCATAATCCGAGTAATCACAGTTCGGGTGAGTCTCGATCTCGAAACATTATTTCCGTATGGTTGAACAGTCAAAAGTATTAAAATTGTCATTGTTGAAGTTCTAGTTAATAAAACGGATAAATTAAAAACAAAAAAACGTAACGGACAAATACGTATAAATAAAATAATATAAAATACCTAAAGTTCAAACAAATTTCATAAAAATCATTTCATAAAAAACTCACCAGAAATCATGTGTAAGAAGTTTGAATTAATCTGTCCAAAAAGAACCAAAAAACTTTCGAAACGTGTACAGAGAGAAGGAACGCAGATATGTAAAACAGACATAATGTATCGATTATCATGTACGTTCAGTAGTGAGGATCAACACAGACTGAGAGAGGAGACGGGCTGTCCGTAACCGAAAGTCAAACTCTATTTATGATTGGAATGTACGCTTTGTGGAGGCCTTCGGTATCTGTCTGCAAATTGATACCATTCTTTTGTTTCCTGATATTAATCATCTCTGAAACTAAACGTCTCCGATAGCTGGGCTCTTCATCTAAGATTTCGACCTCCTCCCATTTAAATTCGTGGTCGAGTTGTCTTCTATGTTCCGTTATTACCGATCGTGCCGACGTGTTGTATTTAATATGATTGCGATGTTCTGCAATCCTTGTCTTTAGTTTTCTGCCTGTTTGTCCCACGTACGTAGCGTCACAATCATTGCAAGAGATTTTGTACACTACGTTGTTCTTTGATGTGTGTGGATGAACATCTTTGTGTACCTTAATGTATTTTTTGAGTTTGTTCGGACTACGGAAAGAAACCCTGATGTCGTTATTCTTGAACCGATTGAACTTTTCTGTGTGGCGCGGGATGAACGGAACCGTAAGCCAGGACACTGATTCCCTCGCTTCGTCCTTGTCATTCATACTGTTCTGTGTTATGTGTCTATTTCTATTCAAGTTTTTAATTCGTAGGTTGATTGTGTCAAATATAAATGATAATGGGTAGTCATTGTCTAATAAAATGTTAATGATAAGTGTCAAATTTTGTGTGTAAAACCGAAAGTCCGAAAGTAAAATTGTTCTGTCAACCAGCGAAAAAATCGTTCCTCTTTTTTGTGCAATGGGGTGGTTAGAATAAAAATTCAAAAACCTCCCTGAAAAGGTCGGCTTACGATACCAATCAACTCCAAACCCGTTACCAATGATCGATATAGTCACATCCAGGAAATTAATTTCATCACCCCCAAATTCAGAAGTGAATTGTAATCGTGGATGGAACGAGTTAAATTGTTCTACTATTGCGTCAATTCTTGATGGTTCCACCGCAGTACAAATATCATCCACGTATCTAAAATAAAATACTGCGTCCAAGTTCAACGACATCAAGGACACCGTCTCAAGTCTCCTCATCACCAAGTCCGCTATTATAGGTGATAAGGGGGACCCCATAGGAGTGCCGTAACTCTGTTTATAAAAATTGTTGTTAAACGAGAAAAATGTAGAATCAAGGATGAACCTTATTGCCCCCACGAACTCCTCCCTAGGTAGAGGACAGTCTCCGGCAACATACGTCCAATGTTCATTGATGCAGTCTATGGCTATATCCACCGGAACATTCGTGAATAAAGATTTTACGTCTAATGAGATTAATTTATATTGATCGGTGGTATGTAGTCTTTTTAATTTGTCAACAAGTTCGAAACTATTTTTTATATGACTATCTGCTTTAGGAATAGATTTAATTAATATATTGTGTACGAATGTCGCCAGTGGATAGAGCGGACTGCCCAACGAAGAGACAATGACCCTCAAAGGGCAACAAGGTTTATGTATTTTCGGCACACCATAAGCTCTCGGAAGTGATCCGTCACTACAATATAACGTCTTATATTTTGCTTCGCTAATATATCTCTTTGTCTTCCATCTGGTGAGCATGGACCTGACCGCTGTCGTGATTCTCCTGATGGGATCTTTATTGATAAGAGAGTATGTGTCCTTGTCATTCAGCAGAGTGATCATCTTTTCCAAGTAGACCTCTCTGTCTAACGCGACTGTGACATTGCCTTTATCTGCATGTGTGAACAAGACATTGGTATGCTCCGACAAAAAGGCGCGTGTCTTCGATTCCATTCTTAGCAATACTTTATCAATAGGAGATGTTGTGATTGGAGAGGAAATGATGCCGTTGAGAATTGGAATGGAGTGGTTGGTGATTGCGATTCTATTTTCGATCGGCATGCGATGCACCCCAGTTTCCACACTCTTAATGCAATCGAAAATTATCTTGCGTTTGTCGTTAAGTGGAAGAGCGAAGTTCTCACCTAGTTGTAGGAAACACTGTATGTCTGTTGGGATGGACACAGAGGATAGGTTAAGGAACCACCCGTTTCGGACAGTGGTCAGGGACGAAGATCTATGTGAGGTGAAGGAACTGGGATGTATGGATATCAAGTTGCTAGGAGAAGACGTAAGTCTTTGACGTAAGGATTGTTGACATTCGATGTGTCCTTGTGCCCCGATGTTGGGCCAGCACGTATGCCTGTATCACACTCATATAAAATAGGTTTGATTCTGGTTATGGTCTGTGCTTCCTTTTTATCACACAGCCATACGAGTTTGTGATTTAGTCTCTCTCTTTCTTTACGGAAAAGCACATGACAGGATTTTTCCTGTGTATCTAGAAACCTATCGAGAATCCTTGTAGGAAGACAACGATAAAGTCCGCTCACCACACGGAAGAGAGACCCCCTGTAAAAATCTGTTTGTCTATAAGCGTCATTTAGTTCTATCTGGAGAATTTTTTTAATCACAAGTTTTTTACATTGCGAAAACTTCTGATTAGATCTGTGATTGTGTAGTTCGATACGAAAATCGTTAATAGTGTTAAGGTGTTGCGGTACGACATTGTTATTAGCGCATTGTTTTAAAAAGCGTATGTGTAAGGAGTTCATGATAATCTTCCTGCGACAATTTATCCAACTTTTAAGAAGTTTTACAGCATGGTGACCATAGTACAAAGAAATGAATTTGAAAAACGAAAGATGTGTTGTTCGCATTGTTACAGCCTGCGTTAAATTCAAATAAATAAACAAATTCAAAGGACTCTTTCAAAACATAATAA